TGTCAAACGGGGCAACTCTTATGCATTGAAAAAGGTGTCACGTCATGCATAGTTGATGTGAATCAATAGTGCCATTAATTTTTTTGTACAGTAACCTTGTTTGATATCATTTATTTTAATTTAATTTATTTCTCGTACTTATTTTTAATTACATTAACACAATAAAATATTCTACACGTAAATTCAATTTTTTTTTTTTTATTTTTACTTTCTAATCATACTTTCTCCAAAAAATACTATTTAAAAGAATATTTTTAAAATTTTAGGCCCCGTTCGGGAGGGCTTAAAATCCAATTAAAATTGAAAATATGGCCGTTGTTGGGTCTCACCCGTCTAATAAAAGTCAACAATAACGGCTATATTTTCAATTTTAATCTGATTTTAATCCCTCCCAAACAAGCTCTTAAGGATGTCCAACAGGGGCAAATTGATTTTAGTGACTCGCAGTAACTATAAGATGACAAAATAATAGCATTTTAAATTCTAAGAATTACTTTAAGAGTATATATATAAGTTTACGAATTAAGTGCATGTTTTAGCCACATTTTTTTACTAAGAATGTATTTTGAAATAGTAGAATGATGGAAAATGTGTGGTTAAAAAAAATTGGGTTTGCATGTAATATTATTTTATTGAAAAATGTGTTATTGAAAAGAAGATAAAAAAAATGTATTTTCGAAATAATGAAAATCAAACAAGGGCTAATCTTTCAACTCGCGGCACTGTAGATGTGCCGTATTTGCACTCGAGTAATAACAAGTTTGAAAGGAACTTTTCTACTGTATATAAAAGCGAAACACAATTTTGCACTTTTCCCAACTTGCATTGTTATCCACAAATAACACCAAACAAGGAAACAAAATTAAAGCATTGAATTGGACCCCATTGAAATGTTTGGTGACTTTTACAAAAAGTGAGGATAAGAAGTAGCTCATTATATAGGAAAAATATAGATCCCCAGCCTATTGAAAGTGTAGAAAATAGGTCCCAATTATTATTTGGGAAAAATCAGTCCTCAAACATTAATTTTTATTATAATTGAGTCCTCAGTTAACGATTTTACTATTTATTAAAACTCAATTTTTTGTCAAAATAAAATTACAATTATACCCTTGTGTTTTAATTAAACTTAGTTATCATTTTATTCTCATTATTTTCAAAATATTATAAACTAAGAGAATAGAATAGAAAGAGGTCAATACACGTGTGTGTATTATAATGATAACCAAATTCCTATAGAAAGATTAGTGATACATTGATAATAATTTCTAGAGATGTAGGGTACAATTGTCATTCACTAATAAACTTACAATTTACAGCATTACCTCTTGAATGACACGTTACAAAATATTTGCCCCCTTAAAATCTTGTCAAGAAAATCTAGTGAGAATAAACTTGATAGAAGGAAAAAGAGTACAGTTGCTCTCCCTGATTTCAGTTCTTATATCAATTCATCCTTATATTGAACGACAATAACTTCAATAATGCAATTTATGTTGAAGTGTGTCTCACGTTGTCATGTATAGTCTTTAAATAACACCGTTTTCATACGAGATATTTATCAATCTTTGATGATTGTAGAAACATGACGATTCTAAAAATAGCTCTTGTTGATCTCATACGAATCTCATACATATAAGAGATATTGAGGGTAAATATCTTATGTGTTATAGACATTCATTACATAAAGAATATATCTCTTTAAAACCTTATTAAGAAAAATCCCGTGAGAAAAATCCTAATGAAGAAAAAAAGTGTATATTTATTATTTTGAACACACCACAAATATTGTCTTATTAAAAAACTTGTCAGGAAAACCTAATGGGACAAAACATTGGTCAATAGAAAAAGAATATAACGCATATTTACTCCCTCTCATGATGATATCACTCGAATTATGTTTCAGACATATTAAATCCTTCCAAGATAGTATCAAAATCATACAAGATAAATTGTCTATAATTACATAGATTACATGCATATCAAATTTAATACATCGCCACATTAATAAAATAGAGACTTGTGATTATATCCATCACATGCTAATTTATCTATTTATACAAGTTTTCGTGAAATTTATTATATAAAAAGTCGTACATTTCATATTAAGACTTTACTTTTCCATTTTCATTTCACACAAGTTTAGACCTTTAACTGTTCAAATTGTAGATCCAGAAACTTCACGTTTCTCTAGTATGTTCAATTTTACTAGAATCCCGTCCAAAAACTTCTGATTTCTTTAGTAAATTCAATTTTAGTATCATAACATTATTTTATTTGACCAATCATTACTTCAATCAATGTACTTTAATAGATTTATTTCGCTATCATAATATGAAGCAGTACATTATATACAAAAGTGTTGTCGACAATTTTTTCTTTTCTTTTTCGTTTGTCATTTTATAATATGCATCATTAATGGGACCATCTTCGCTAATTGCTCCTTTTTTGAAAAAACAATTACATTAGAATCGAATATCATCATATTTGAGGTGTGCCATGAAATATCATTCTAGGACGTTAATTTGAGTTGGAGCATTTAAAGTTGATGTGTGAGATATAATTGATCTTTTTGATCAGTAAATGCATTTAAATGAATTATCTTGCGAACTTCTGATTCTAATGATCTTTTACAATGATTTAGATGATGATGCATTTGTACATTATTTCTAACTTATAAATTCTTAACCTTAATGCTGAAATAATTGTCCAATCAAAACTGAGAAACAGCAAATTGCGTTATTACATATCACTCATTTGAGATGAGGGTTCAAACTACGCATTTCTTCTCAGTATCCTTAGTTTTCATCCCAGTGTAATATAGTGGATTATTTGTACATATATTGCACTATCAAATAATTAAATGAAGAAATTAGGATATGACCATAAGCCCATTATAATATAAACTATAAAGAACTTGATGTTGGCATAATGTATAATAACATTCCCTAAACATAAATAAGAAATATTTTGTTCTCAATTAAATTAAATTGAAGTGTTTAGCGTTAAATCATTTATCAACATTTCAACTAACATTTATTAAAAAGTTAAGATTTAGAATTACTAACAATAACAAGACATACAGTCTTAATTGTATAATTTGAAAATCATACTCATAATTTGAGCAGTAATTTTGTAAACTTCACGTTGCCAACACCATGCAACCATCTAATATTTGTATCATATCTTCAGGAATAAAAACATAATATACATTAAATTTTATGTTATTATGCTATTTGAGTTCAGTAAAATCTAACTAAAATATTAATAAGAATTATAATGTACTACTTCGTGAGTACACTATATTTTATTATTGCTTCTTCAAAAATAACATGTCAATATTCTTTTGAAATATTGAAAAATTATAGTGCATGCTCTTTAGAAGCGAGCGATATTCTTTTGAAATATTTATGTGTAAAATAAAACAAATTTCGACACATAAATTCCATCACATGAAATGAAAATGAAGCAATAGCAAGAATACAAAGTTAGGCGCGCAGGATTTTGACACACCAAAAGCACAATGTGAAGAAAAAGTAACTTCCTATATTAAAGTCCTATCATATGCATTGAAGATTCGAACTAGGGTTGCCTTCGCAAACTTCCAGCATGAGCCATAATTAATGTTTCTGCAGCCCCGGACAAACCAACACAAATGTGCCAGCCACATATGACACACCACACATAGCCCCTTTGCGAAACATATATTTCTATCTTCTTTTCGATCACACATTCTTTATTAAAATAATATTACACTTTAGAACTTTCTCTTATTTTTTAACTACATATTTTTTATCAATCTACTATTCCAAAATATATTCTTTCACAAAAATGTGAGCTTTTTAGCAAAATTTGATATTTTGAAAATTCAAACCTTGAATAAACTATTCTAATTAGGAAATTGGCTCACCATCATTCACATATGAGAATATCAAACATCCATAATCCCTTTTTTTTCGATTCCCTTCAACAACATTATTCCTTTCAATTTTTAAGCACGATAAATAATGACTAAATATTAATTAATAATTGTACCAATGTTCAACAAAAAGAAGTGTAGCTCATATGTTCGATGAGTCATTTAGTATATGAGAGTTATGCGATTCAATTCTATGTACCTTCACTTTTTTGTTTATTTTTAATAAAACAAATAATAACTAAACATTTATATATTATTCGTTTTCATTTTCGAAATAATTTCTTTAAAAAAATTATTGACTCAAATTATTATTCAATGATATATATACTTTTGTTGTTAGGTTTTATTAATTTATTTTATAAAATTCAAATTTGGAAAATCTAAGTACCGTTCTTTATTCTTTTAAGAGTTCGAAAAACACCTTTTTT